GGTCTAAAAACACGTTTTCAGTACAATTAAAATCCCCTCCTATAAAAACATGATCCTCAGACCCACAATCTCCCAACCTCTCCCCAATTTCTTCTAAAAAACGTTGTTTCTCTGCATTGGTGGTGGGAGCATAAATATTAATAAAAGTTACATTAACATGTTCAAACCCGGCTTTGACTAAAAGACACCGTCCCTGAACAATGTGTTGCACCTCCTCTATGTGGCTGGGAGTAAAAGCTTTAGACAAGAGGAGTCCCACTCCTGCACTCTGGGAGGTGCCGTGGCTAAAAATGGCCTCCCCTTCCCACTCCCTGACACGCTGTCTCATTGGATGGATCACTGTGCGTCTCTTGTAAAAATAAAACGTCAATTTTTTTATACTTTATGGTTTGGTAAACCAGTGCGCGCTTCACAGCCTCTCTGGCCCCGTTCAGGTTTAATGATGCAATTTTAAAAGCATCCATGGTGAGTGAGAGGTTTAAAAGTGTGTACAAAAAGACTATAAGGAATATTAAAATGCTGCTGTTCATCATTTGTTCAGAATTGTTTTCTGACTTTGCTCATTATTTTCTTTAATCTAAAAAGTTCTTGATCTGTAAAACCTGAATCTTCTTTGTGTCTAATGTGATGTCTGGCTGAGAAATAAAATGTTCTCAGGTTAGGAAAATAACTCTCGACTTGAACTCCTCTCAGCCTTTTGGTTTGCTTGAGGACGGACAGGAAGGATTCTACAGGGTACCGGGGTTCAGTGCAGTCAGCCTGTGAGACAGAGGCTTCACTGAAGTCACAGCACAGCGCTCTCTGCTCTCTGCTCTCTGCTCTCTGCTCTCTGCTCCCTCCTTCATCTCTGCACATCTTGCTGGCCCGTGCAGCAACTTCAATATTTTTTCTTTTCCCTCGTTTCTTCACCTGGGTTGGGGCCCCCAGCTCCATCTCCTCTACAAGCGCCCCTGGTTCTCTCTCCACACCAGCTCCTGACCCCTCACTTTTCTTTCCTGCACCTTTTATTTCCTCATCCACCTCCACCTCTCCTTTCCCTTCCCGACCACCACACACCAGAGCCCTATAGAGAGAGAGCTGCGACACTCTGAACTCGCCGATACGCGTCACGTGGTTCATGCAGCTCCAATAGTTCCAAACAGTTCATCCTGTCAGTCAGTCTGAGGCTGCTGGTGCAACACAACACAAAAATCCACTTTTCTTACTCTACCTGTGTCTTTCAGAAATTACTGAGCAGTAACGAATAAAATTATTGATTATTTCAGACTATGCATTTTATCAAAGCGTTTTTAGAAGCAACTGATACATTTATCATTATAGAAGGAAACGAGACTGCAAACACATACTTGTTAGAAAAATAACGTATATGCAATACAGTGATCAATATAGCCATATCAGTGTTTTATAATGTTACACACATTAATAAAAGATCAGAGTAACTCGTGTTATAAAGTTATTCTGATGTTCTCTGCAGGATAATGCTCCACCTTGTCCTCCATGCAGCATCAGATCTGCTCCAGCTTACCTTAGATCATCTGGATGAATTCTTGATTTCTATAGAAGATATTAATTCAACCTTTATTTAAACAGGTTAGTTCCATTGAGCCACGAGGACTCATTTACAAGAGAGACTGAATATAATTGTTGGATTTGTTGTTTTTTTATGGCACCAAGTACCTGATAACTGAGTTGATTGTAGCCTGACAACTATTGTAAAACTGTAATTCATTGATTAAAATGTTCATTTAAATGAAACTGTTTCTAGTTAAAATCATAACAGATGACAAAATAAGTGTTAACTGTGCAAAAATACATTTCCAAACAATTTATTATAAAATATGTAAAATGTAAAACAAGCTTTAATAAAGTACTTTTACTGACATTTATACTGTTTATTAATGACATCATCTGAAGTCAGCAGGAGCACCATCATCATCATCATCATCATCATCATCATCACAACACAAAGTGAGCGCTGTAAATTTAATCTGCACAAACATTTTCAATCAGAGCTCAAAATGTTTCACTGTCAAAGAAACGTTCAATAAAATAAACTGATGTCGCTCTACAGGGACATTTAGAGAGAGGACAGTTCACAGAGACACAGTGAGGACGAGTGAGACAGAGACACAGTGAGGACGA